ATATTGTTTTTAAATCACATTTTATATTGCCAGTTTTTTCCAGTCCTACTTCTTAATATCAATGCTGTGTTCAAAACCACAGTATTTATTTAAAGTAGTATTTTTGTGTCATTTAATGCATCCATGCTGAATATGAGTATTAATTTCTTTAAAAAAGTACTGATTTCAAACTTTTGAATAGTAGTATACAATAAAAAATTAAATGATTCATTATTATTATAATGTAAAAATGCAAATTAAAGACAAAAATGTATAATAAGTCAAAACAATAAATACAAATATCAAAATATTAAATCTTAATATACACAAACTTTTTGTAATGAGGAGTTGAGGTTTTGTAATGAGGAATTGGTCACTAGGGTAACTGATAATTGTTCCACTGAGGTTGTGTAAAGATTTCACAGCACTCTGTCTACTCTAGGTGGGAAGTGGACAACCTATCGTTCTATGGCTGAGGAGACTCTTGACGCAGCTATAAAGGCTCATAACCTCTCAGCCGGTCCCAGCAGGACGGTCGGTCTGATGCTGGATGGTGGGAAGGACTGGACCCCCACCCTGTACATTCGCTTGGTTCAAGACTACGGCTTGGAAAACGAGGTGGGTTTCGAAGCCTAACTACTTAGCATTCTGCCAGTCAGAGCTCTTTGGAGCAGGTTCAGCTGCTCCATAACGTTCAGTCCCCCATGATCCTGTGGGGGAAAGAAAGTCTGGCAACCCCTTGTTTGGAAGCGAGAGGCTTGATGGAGCCGTAGCTACCATGGATGTTGTTTTGCCAGCATATTTAAAAAGGTCAGCATGCAGATATTTTTGACAGCACTTGACCTTTGGTGAGAGATATAAAAGAAGAGTTTGAATCGAAAACGGGGCCGTGTTCATTTGTCTGAACGCTTAATGAAGCAAAGGTGTTCATAAGCTAGTAAAGAAAACATCTCTACAGTCTAAGTGAATGTTTAAAATCTAGCTTTGCAGTGGGTTTCCTGCATAAGGAAAGAAAGTTGAATCATGAAACCTACCACCGTCTTGTTAATAATGGTTACATCCCTAAGGAATAACATGTTTATTTTCTGAACTCACAGGTTGCTCAGCACCTGGCAGCCACCTATGGAGGAAGAGCATTTGAAGTGGCCAAAATGGCCAAGGTGACAGGCAAGAGATGGCCTATAGTGGGGAAACGCCTTGTGTCTGAATTTCCCTACATAGAGAGTGAGGTAAGCACTCTGAAATTATAATAATGACAGTTAACTTGCAGTGTACCATTTGTTGAACCCCGCCTTTAAAACGTTACTGACCAGTCCTTACTTAGCAACTGTTGATCTCAGCCATTTTCTTTGACAAGCTTTTGCTTCTTAAACTTTTCCCCCAAAAATTTAAATTCTGTCATTAATTACTCACCCTCATGTCGTTCCAAACCCGTAAGACCTTCATTCATCTTCGAAACACAAAATAAGATATTTTTGATGAAATCCGAGAGCTTTCTGACCCTGCATAGACCACAATGCAACTATCACGTTCAAGGCCCAGAAAGGTAGTAAGGAAGGACATCATTAAAATAGTCCATGTGACATCAGTGTTTCAACCGTAATTTTATGAAGCTACGAGAATTTTGTGCGCAAAGAAAAAAAAAAAACGGCTTTAATCAACAATTTCTTCTCTTCCGTGTCAGTCTCCGCCACCATTCACGAGAGTACCACGATGCATGCGTGTGCATTCCTCTGCTTGTAAACAAGGTGCAGCGTATCAGGATTCTACATCAGAATGCTGGCTCCTACGTCCGTATATTTGTTATATCTTAATTTGTGTTCTGAAGATGAATGAAAGTCTTACAGCTTTTGGAACAACATGAGGGTGAATAATTATTGACAGAATTTTCATTTTTGGGTGAACTATCCCTTTAATAATGTAATGGTGCATTCAAGTCATCCTGGGAAGTTTGTATTAACGAGTTGGAAAGTCGTAATTATGACATGTGTGTTCAGATCACTTTGGTTGGAGGAAGATAGCGAAGGGTTTTTTTTAACACTGGTTCGACAAAATGATGAAAAATCTAATGAGCATCAGGTATTTCAATTTATCAAGGTATTGTAAATGGAATTTTTATATTCTATCATAATTGTACAATACTATCGTATTTTATACCTGTACATACAACTTAGCTTTTTAAAAAAAAAAAAATTTCCCACTCGTAATTACAGCATGAGTCCTCTGCACAATCTGACTTTGTTGCAACCTAGAATTAAACTGCTGGTCTCGTCTGGCCAGAGGAGAACGGCACACTATTTCGACACATTATTTCCCTTTTTTAATACTGTAATGCTTTGACACAATCTGCATTGTAAAAAGTGCTATATTAAATAACGGTGACTTGACTTGACAACATTGTGGTGGCGTTAATATGCGCTTAACTCCTAAATATTATCTTCCATCCAACATGACTTAAACGCAAATAAATCAATGGAGGATCGTCTATGGAGGTGCTAGAAGAGTTTCAATGCAATTTTGTGCAAATTGTCCAGAAATATGGTAAAATGTTGTTGTCAGGTCACTTATACTGACACATGGTAATCAGAGGTTTACAGTATATTTTCATTTACTAAATATTTTAATTAAGTTTGAGAAGTTCATTCTATGTCATTTTATTTGCATATTTTTTTTATTCATTTTGTTGTAGGGGTGCTAATAAGAGTTCACATTGCACACAGTTCACACACACGTAGTGAACACATTGTAGAAACTTTAGGAAGAGTTCTGCTCATTTACACCAATGTCATCTGTTCTAATTACTTTTATCTTTACAGTTGACTCCATTTTGATTCTGATGTGCAGTCTCCACAGTTTTTACTGCTCATTTTACATTGCTCTTTTGGAATGTCACACTTCATTGTAGTCAATGAACGCATGCTGTTCCTTGAAATCTCAAGTTTTTCTTCCTGTAGTTTCTTGAGAGGCGGAGCTTAGCAATGGTTCAAATACTTTAACTGTCAGGATTAAAAATAAGCAAGATTCACTGCTGGGTTGAAATCTGAACTTCATATTTGAAAATATTACATGTTATTCAGTCAACCTAAAAATACATGAATGTCTGATTGTCTTCCAAACAGTTTCTGTTAAAACTGACTTGAATGAAAATGAAAGTGATGTTTTCTGTCTGGATTTAGGTGCAGTATGCTGTAAAGGAGTACGCATGTACAGCCATCGATGTGATTGCTCGCCGAACTCGACTGGGCTTTCTGAACGTGCAGGCTGCGGATGAGGCTTTGCCACGTATTGTTGAGATCATGGGCAACGAACTGCAGTGGACTGAGCAAAAAAAGAAAGTATGTCATTGATCTCATGGCTTATTTCTTTAGAATACAGATGGACAGTGTTTCTTTTTTTTTATTAAAATGAAAGCAGAATTCGCTTTAAGTTCACATTTAGTGTGCATGTGAATTCAAATCACAATTCAAATTCATGAGAACATTTTAGTTCAATACTTGATTTATTGAATTTATTGGTTGTGCAAACCTGTTACCCTTGCCCTGAACCCTGCTTTTTTTGTCCTGACCGAAAGCTAAAGATCTCAGCCAGGTTAATTTAGGTAACAGCTAATAATAGGCCTCAGCTATTGTTAGTTTGATTCTTAAATAGTCTTTTTAACAAGGAGTCTCCAATCCACGATAAGATCACAATTCAGTTGTACAATAAACGCCCAGCACAACTCCTCAAGATGACTATGGCTGTTACGTCTGTGCTCAGAGGAGTGTTTGAAAGTGTGCGTGTAGTGCGTTTGTAAGGGGGTGATAAGAGTTACTCCAGCTTTTGCACGTTGGTCGTAGGTTTCCTGTCTGATAAACAGAAGCACTAATAATAGCACCGATCACTGTGCAGCTTTGATACTGTTCAGTTCCCATGAGTTCAGCGCTCAGATCTGCTCACAATGCAGGTGCACCACACCCACCAAACACATGCACGGACACACAATGCTCTGCTGGGAACCTCGATCCAGCGCAGGTATATCACAGCTCTGCAAAGGCAAGCCAGTATTCTCAGCCTGTGCATTGCAGGAATGTTTATGTTGCTGTGTTTCTGCTGCATGAAACACTTTGAATCCTTTTACTGCCTCAAACATTCTCATTCTATTGTTGAAAATAAATATCAGTATCTACTGGAAGCTACTACCAGTATTTTCTTATAAAACATGCTCCAATAATCTGTTTTATTAACAACAAAAAAAACAAATTTCACAGTATGTTAAAAATATTTAGTTTTGATGAGCCTGTTTTGAGAGATAAACATAATTTACTTTTTATACGACTGTATTTGATCTTTTCCTTACAATTACATGTTTTAATTAACTAATTACTCAATTAATTAATAAATTTTTTTGCTGTACATTTAAAGCTTCTATGTAAATGCCTTCAGACATAAAATAAAACAGCACTACGATGCAAGATTTGTTGAAAATATTCAGTTATAATGAGGCTTTAATTTAAAATTTAAACTTAGATTTTCAGAAAAAATAAATAAAAAGGGGTTGTTTTTTCAGCAAACAAAACTGTTATTTACTTTTATATGACCATATTTCACACTCTATCTGACCCTAAAATTAATTGATTAACTAATTAATTAATTAATTAATTTATTTATTTTGCCTTGAAGACTAAATGCCTTAATCAGACAAAAAAAAAATAAAAAAATTAGAAACATAAATTTGATGTGTATATATATATTCAGACAAGAAATTAGAAACAACACTTTGACACAAACTGTGAGCTTTCTGTTGGGTCCAGTACAGTTTTAACTTCCCCCTTCTTTAGTAACAGCCAATTTGCAAACCATGCATTATACTGCAAAGGTTTACAAAACATGTGCTTAAATGTGCCGCTGTTATGATCAGGAAAATATATAATTGATTAAAATGACATTTTATTCACTTGTTTCTAACCTTAAGTTACTGATTGTGTTTTTGGTTTTGTTTGTCTACAGGAAGAGCTGGAGGCAGCAAAGAAGTATCTGCACCTGGAGATGGGTTATAAAGCTCGCTCTGAGCAGCTCAGCAAGACAACAGAGATCTCACTCACTGCCCCAGAGATAGCAAGGTATAAGATGAGTGTGTGAGTTTAAGTGTACAAGATCCTACATCTCTCACTTTCCTAATAATTATCATTATTATGATTGACAGGTATAAGAAGCGCTTTTACAAGTTTGATAAGGAGAGTAAAGGCTTTATCACAACAGTGGATGTCCAGCAAGTGCTAGAGGTGAGTTATAATCTCTTACAATTCACACTGAGCTTCTTTAATATTTTAGATCGAAAAAACAAATACTGTTACTATTTGTTCTAAGCAGCCATTACTTTTTAGCGACCATATGCATTCATCTTTTTTTTAAAACATATAAATTTTTTTCCCTGAAGTCCATAATGTTAAAATTTCTTGCACTAAAAACAAAATGTAAAATGCCTTTACATGACATGTAAAATGTGTATGTTGAATCCACTGTAAGTTGCTTTTTTTACACCCTTTCTCTGATCAGTGTTTAATATATATACAGATAAGACTTACAGGATACAGAAAATTACCTCTTATGCGGTTGGCTAACTAACAAGTTCATCAGAGTAGGCCAAGTTGCCATTGATATGCAGAGATGAGGGGACTTTTTATCTCTGTTACTTAATTTGAATAAATTTTCATTACTTTTGAATTTGTCTCAAGGCATGCAATTAAACTGCAAGATGACCTGTACTTAAAGGGATAGTTCACCCAAAAATGAAAATTCTGTCATTGTTTAGAATCGGGGGCAGTCGTGGCCTAATGGTTAGAGAGTCAGACTTGTAACCCGAAGGTCGTGGGTTCGAGTCTCAGGTCCGGCAGGAATTGTAGGTGGGGGGAGTGAATAACCAACGCTCTCTCCACCTTCAATACCACGACTGAGGTGAGACCCTTGAGCAAGGCACTGAACCCCCAACTGCTCCCCGGGCTACTCACCCTCATGTTGTTCCAAACCTGTATGAGTTTCTTTCTTCTGCTGAACCCAAAAGAAGATATTTTGAAGAATATTGATGTTGAATGTTAATGTCAAATGGTTGATGGTTGACTTCCATAGTATGGAAAAAAAATACTATGTAAGGCAGTAGTTTAGTTACCAACATTCTTCAAAATATTTTCTTTTGTGCTCAACAGAAAAAAGCTCATACAGTTTTGGAATGACATGAGATAAACTATGACAGAATTTTCATTTTTGGGTGAACTATCCCTTTAAATGTCGTACGTTTGCCAAACAATCTTAACGTTAAAAAAAATATAATTTCCCTCTTGAATTGCTTATTAGCTGTCATTCTCTCCGCTCTCATTGTCTCTGGTTTATGTGCAGTCCTTAACTTTTTCGTTTAATGTCTCTTAGTTACTGATTCTATAACTGATTTGTGTTCTTTCAGAAACTCAGCATTCAGATTGATGAGAACGCCCTTCATGAGATCCTCAACGAGGTGGACCTCAACAAAAACGGGCAGGTGGAACTGGATGAGTTCTTGCAGGTATGAACAGCTATTTATAGACTACAGCTTGTCTTGGTGTTGCTCTGGTTTTCAGGCAGGATTTGTAGTTGTAGGTGGGAAAACCTCAAAATTAAAAGTGCTTGTTATCTTCATGTCAGTACATCTATGTTTTGTCATAAGCCGACTGGTTCACAGTGATTAGTCCCTCTGAAATGTCATACCTACGTCAGAAGGAGTATAAAGTAGATCTGGTGCCTCTAGAGTTTCAGTTAATTAATAATGAGCACCACGTTTTCTGTACTTTTTACTATAATGAAGCATGAACTAGATTACCATATATGGGTCAAGAGAAAGGTGTTAAAAGTAATAACCTTTCTGGGGTTTGAACCAGTAACCTTTAAATTACTATACTAGGCTTTAACCAAAGTCCGTTCAGGTCAGGTCAGTTCACTTGGTGGCCATATTGGTAATCCCTTTGTACAACTAGTTCCGGTTATTTAAGTACAGCAAAGTAGTGGGTCAAGTTTACATTTAATGAACATTAACACTGTCATTCAAAAGTTTGGGGCCAGATTTTTTTTAATTTTTTTTTTTAAGAAATTAATAATTTTGTTCAGCAAGGAAGCTTTAAATTAGAGGTCTGCATTCCACGGGACCCGACTGGATTTTTTGCGCGGTAATAAAACGCGGTAACAGTCGGTAACTCTGGCACAAAGAGTGAATATATAGCGGGAGCGGGTGGGTGCGGAATAGAACCTTGCGGGAGCGGGACTAAAAAAAATAGTCCCGCGCAGACCTCTACTTTAAATTGATCAAAAGTGACAGTAAAGATATTTATAATATTACATTTTTTTTATTTTTAAATAAAGGCTGTTCTTTAATTCTTAATTCTTAATTCTTCTAAGAATTATTAGAAATGAATAACTGTTTTCAGCATTTCTAATAATAAGTTTCTTGAGCATCAAGTCAGCATATTTCTGAAGGATCATGTGACACTAAAGACTGGCGTAATGGCTAATATAAATTCAGCTTTGCCGCCACAGAAGTAAACTGGATTTTAAAATATTTTAAAATAAAAAACTTTAAAAAAAAAAAATATTTTTCAATATTTTTGAACAAAGAAATTCATCCTTAGTGTGCATAAGAAAATTCAAAAACATTAAATAAAATTTGATCCCAAACTTTCAAATGGTAGTGTATTAGTGACAGAGCAGAATAAGGATGGAGCAAAGTGTGGATGCGCTGTCCTTGAAGGACGTTTTATTTATAATTTTAAATAAAAGATGTTGTATTTATTTATTTTTCTCTGTGACACTTTTCCTACCGTGTTAACAGAAAAATGTTAAACGAATTTAGTATTTTGACAAGATGAATAAAAATAGCTAATAGAATAAAAACCTTTAAAAAAAAAAAATATTTTTCAATATTTTTGAACAAAGAAATTCATCCTTAGTGTGCATAAGAAAATTCAAAAACATTAAATAAAATTTGATCCCAAACTTTCAAATGGTAGTGTATTTCAAATCAGAAATAAAAATTATCATTGGTATCTTAAGTTGTGCCTCTGAAGCTTAAATCATGCAAAATAATGTGGCTGTAACCATTAAGCTAGGTAGTGATTATGCATCTGATTTGATTGGTTCAGCTCATGAGTGCAGTCCAGAGAGGCCAAATCTCTGACAGTCGTCTGGCTATCCTGATGAAGACGGTCGAGGAGGGGTTGGATCTGAGAGGACCTGTCTCAGTTGACCGCAGTGGAGGCGGTGTTTGAATCCCAACTAACCAAAACATCCACCAGACGACGGCTCCCACCACAAAGTTGGATAAACACCAAAAAGCGCTGACCGCTGTGCCCACGCTGGTCAGATCACAAGCACATCCTCTCAAGTCATTAACTCACCCAACCAGCTGGCTGCCATTGACTACAATATTTTTTCTTTTTGTTTTAGCATGCTTATTTAAATTTATTTTAATGAAAAAAATCGTATTATTAGAGCAGAATATATTCTTTAAAATAATTTCAAAGCGTATTCTAGAGTCTATATTTTTATCTAATGCATGCAGTGCCATGTTATGTGACCTGGTAAGCATGAATAGATTGTCTCTTTAATGTTTCTGTGAGCAGCTTTATCCAGTGTGCTTTCTGTTGTGCCATTTTATTAATGCAGATTATTTGCTACTGAATGCAGTGAGGTGAAATTCAAGGGCTCTCAGTGTCTTCTGAGCTAAACAAATGCACTATATGTGAATTACGCAGTTTTACACTGCATAGTGCTTAATTGTTACTGTTCTGAATTACAGTGATGAAATGTGTTGTTGTTTTTGTTGTTGTATTATTTTAATCATTTCAAATAATGTAATTTTCTGAAAAAAGTATTTATTCAAAATCTATAATTTCCTTCATACTTTTGATAAATCCCGTCTTGTTTTTAATTAATGTGATTATGTTGAAAGTATACAATTGTATTACTGTAAACAAATGAGTTATTTTGTTGTTTTCAGTGTTTTTAGACTTTGCATTGGCTCTGGTTCAACAGGAGGGTTTTACAAATGATAATGAAATGTAAGAGCTCTTGTCTGAATGTTGAACATTGTATCCCTTATTCAAATTCATGAACAATTGAAACTCCACTTCAGTGTGTTTCCTATAAAGCCTTGCCTCTAAAAGTAATCGATTATCCATTTGTCATGAAATAATAAGGGAATATTATAACTGTAAACTTGATGTAGAGCATAGCAGGGAATGTACTAAATGTGCCTTGCTTCTTAAAGGGATAGTTCGTTCAAAAATGAAAATTCTGTCGTCATTTACTAACACTCATGTTGTTCCAAACCAACATCTTGGCTTCTTTCTTCTGCAGAACATAAAAGAAGATATATTAAAGAATATGTGTAACCCAACAGTTTTAGTTACAGTTGACTTCCATCGTGTTGAAAACTGAAAAAAAAAAAAACACTGAAATATTTGGTAAGACTTTACTAAAAGCCATTATGTATAATGCATTATAAAAGTAGTTCAGTCGCATTAATTATGCTTTGTAATGCACCTTATAATGCATTGTACAATCTCATGAATAGTTGTAACCACAGTTAATACATTATATCACTTATCTATTCATTGCTAGACTATGCATTTTAAATTCGGTTGTAATTATTTACCACAAGATATAATGTATTACAACACATATTATCAATAATTATAATGCATTATACCCTTTAATAATCCTTTATAATGCATTTTACATGAAGGCTTTAAGTAAAGTGTTACCAAATATTTTTTCAAAATATACTTTATGTTCCACAGAAAAAAAGACAGTCATACAGGTTTGGAACGACATAATGATAACGCAATTTTCATCTTTGGGTGAACTCCAACTTTAAAAAGACACTTAATGAACTTTGCATGTTGAAACGCACAGTCCGACACACACTAAAAGTGCGCAATCTTTTACTTGACTATGTATTTTTTGTGGTTTAACATGCTTGCGTATTTTTATAATCAGTTTATTTTTGTTCATACTTTCAGTAGAATGAAACTGCTTTTAACTTGGATGCTTTAAGCTTAATGATGTAAAAAGAAATGTATTTTGTACAATGAGACTGCTCAGAATTTTATTCCGTAATGATGTATTTGTTGTTGTTTTTTAAAGCTAAAAGAAGACCATAAAGATTGTCATAGAGATTGTCGGGTTTGAAAACGATGTAGTAAGAGGGGAACTGTCGGCTTCTGCACATGAGAGCAGAAGCAGTTAAACTAATTTATTGTTTGTCCCAACAAGATGTAATTTCAGCCTGATCTTGATTGAAAGAAATTCATCATTGTATGAAAAAAAGTATAGTAAATCAATCTGCAAGCCTGAGAAACACAATTCTGTAATTAAATGTATCTGGTTGCCTTCTGCATTGTTTGGACGTGCCATTATTTTGTGAGTGACTCTCCTTATGCTCAATGACTTCATATTTCTCACATAACGTTTGTGCCAGTTGAAGCTTGTCATGTCTCCTTCTCATGTATACATGCACATACAGTGTTTCCTTCCCCCAGCCATTCATTTTGATGGAAGATGTCAACTAATTGACTCTAAAGCCACCACTATAGGCCTGATGAACGTATTACGCAGGAATATAGCTGATTAATAGGTGTATGGGCCAGAAGGGTCTTTCAGTAGCAGGGCATCTCGTCATGCACCTGCCTAATAATCCCTGTAGCTGTAGACTCTTTCACAGTGTGAGATGAGTGCGGCCCATTCCAGTGTGATCAGCACCTAGCAAAATGCAATTAAACTAGCATCCCAGGTCTGTCTAATCCTCATTTCAGATGGTGTCTGAATAGCCCTGTGAATCCGATATAATTACACTGAATGCATATTAAGCAGAGGTCCTGGTAAAGCACCTTAAAGGGATAGTCCAGCCAAAAATGAAAATTTTGTCATTTACTCACCCTCATGTCATTCCAAACCTGTATGACTTACTTTTTTTGATGAAACATAAAAGAAGATATTATGTTGGTAACCAAACTGTTTCAGTTTGTATTAATAATAAATAATTATTCATTTTATTTATGGGCACCTTTCAAGACACTCAAGGACACCTTACAAATAATAAGATACATAAACAATAAATTAAAAGAAAGGGGGAAAAAACAGTGCACAATAATGCACTGAAAAACTATATAAATCAGAATAAGCTAATCTAAAAAAGTCATTTTTTACAAAATTGAGATATTCCAAAGACTCTGAGCCCTACACTTGAAAGCTCTACATCCCATGGTAGTCAAACGTACAGATGGTACAACTAGTCACCGAAGCAGAAGACCTGAGAGATCGGGTAGGTGAATACACATGAAGACGTTCACACAAATGTGAAGGTGCAAGATTATGAAGAGCCTTATACATGAAAATCTTAAACTGAATCCAATATCTTCCTGGAAACCGATGGAGTTGCCTTAAAACTGGAGAAATACGCTCAATCAGTGGTGTTCGTGTCATGATCTGGGCTGCTGAATTCTGGACCATTTGAAGTTTGTAAAGAAGTTTCTGTGAAACACCACTGAGAAGAGAATTACAATAGTCAATACGAGATGTAACTAATGCATGTACAAGGACAGCAGTACTTTTAGCAGAAAGCGATGGTCAAAGACGATTAATATTTCATAAATGATAATATGCTGACCAAGTAATATTATTTACAGGTGCATCAAAAGATAAAGTGAGATAACAGAATTATTGATAGTCAGTGTAAAACTTTCAAAATTTTGCAGTTTTAATTTAGTGCCTATTAAAAACTATTTCAGTATTCTCACTATTAAATGCAAACCATGATTTAATTACAGGTAAACAAAGCAAAAGAGAGGAAGGTGATAATGTTGAATTAGACTTGAAGACATATAGAGCTGGGTGTCATCAGCACAACAGTTAAAATTTATACAAAATTTACGGATAATTTGTCCTAAAGGCAATAGATAAATAATAAACAGAAGAGGGCCCAAAGCTGAGCCCTGAGGCACGCCTCTAGTAATTAATTTTAATTGTATGGACAAAAATCAATGTCAATGGGATCCAAAACTATTTGGTTACCAATGTTCTTTGAAATATATATATTTTTTGTGATCCAAAGGAAAATAAGAAATGCATACAGGTTTTGAGTAAATGAGGATATCATTTTCATTTTTGGCTAGACTAGTAATAGATGGGCCAAAGCTGAAAAACTAGTGTTCATAATACAATAACATTAAAGTAACAGTTCTCCCAAAAATAAAAATTTGCTGAAAATTGACTTACATTCAGGTCTTCCATGATGTAGATAAGTTTGTTCCTTCATCTTAACAGATCTGGAGAAATTTTGCATTAAATCACTTGCTCACAAATGGATCCTTTGCAGTGAGTCCATAATCCATTATAACACTTCCTACAAATTATGCTTGATCTGTGTATATTTCTCTTCTGATTCAGATTTCACTTTTAAATAACACAACACTTGCATGAAGTTTTTCAACAGTATGCTAAAATGTTACATGATAGAATCATGGACTTTTAGAAAACCTGTCCCAAACACCCACATGTTGATTATAATAAGCCCAATAGCTATTGGTTCCTTGTGTCCTGTATTTTACTGACAGTGTACTGTGACTGCGGAGGTGCTCTGTTACAACAATAAAACAAAGCATTGTGGGATGTGGAGGAATTTGCAACTCTTTCCAAGATTTTGCTAGAGACATCTTTGTGTTGCTCTGTTATCAATGCAAGATCTCTGTTTTGTTTTTGTTGCGATGTGAATGGATATGTGTCCCTATCGGTTTGAGGCTGATGAGTCAGACAGTCATCAGACCCATGTATACTGTGACACTGAACGGAGAGAGAGAAAAGATTATTCCATTACAATGTAGATACACTTTTTTGTTTAGAGGTGAAATATTATATATATATATATATATATACATATATATCCACTAAACAAAGCAAAAATATTATGTTGACAAATTAAGTGTGACATTTCTGATGTGGTCAATTAAAATGTTTCAAATATTTAACAGAATATAATATTCATATTATTAAGTATGTAAATATTTGAGATATGGTAACTTAATTAAGAATTGAAAGGAAAATAAATACGTTTTTTAAATTCAAGGTGTTACACTACCGTTCAAAGATTTTCAAGTTGTTGTTTTTTTAAAGAAAGAAAGAAAGAAAGAGAAATTAATACTTCAATTCAGCAAGGACATTATATTGCTCTAAAGTGAAAGTAAAGACATTTATAGTTTTACAAAAGTTATGTTTCAAATAAATGCTGTTCTTCTTATCCTGAAAAAAATGTATCCCTGTTTTATTAAGCAGCACTGATGAACTGTTTTCAACATTGATAATAAGAAATGTTTCTTGAGCACCAAATCAGCATATTAGAATGATTTCTGAAGGATCATGTGCTACTGCATTAACGGGTGCTGAGCTTTGCCATCACAGGAATAAAATACATTTTAAAATATATTAAAATAGAAAATTTTATTTGAACTTTACAATAATAATACTTTACAATATCAAATTTCCATTCTTTATTCTAAATTAATTAAATAATTATAAAATGTATTTATTTATTTGCTCAAATAAATGCAGCTTTGGTGAGCAAAAGAGACTTTCAAAATATAAAAAAATGCTGAACGGTATTGTGTATTACTTAAGTAAAGGGGTCATATGATGTTGCTAAAAAGAACATTATTTTGTGTATTTGGTGTAATGCAATGTGTTTATGCGGTTTTAGGTTAAAAAAAACATTATTTTCCACATACTGTACATTATTGTTTCTCCTCTATGCCCCGCCTTTCTGAAACGCCATTTGTTGCATCCAGTGGGGACATAATTACTGATTATAATGACTTACACTGTGTTTTTACGCGTTGCGTTGCGTATTGCGCTGCATAAACATAAAAACGTACTTACAGGCTGTGAGTCAGATGCACCAGACTGTCCTTGCAAAGTTGGAACTGCCCCACTTTATAGAAACATTATGTCCTCTTTTGGAAGGCCAAACAAAGTAGTTTCGCTTTCACAACGAAACACACAGCAGCTTGAGTGAGCGGAGGCCGGCGGATTCGACGAAGGAG